CTGAATTACCGTTATATGGGATGTGGGCGTGGTTATTGTCCGATTTTAAAAATTTTCGGCCATTTCGTATGCTGTGCAAAGGCCAACACTGTGCCAAGTTTGGAAGAAATTGGTGCAGCGGTTCCTAAGATATACACATGTAACCATAAGTGGGCGTGGCTACGCCCATTTTCCAAAAATGTATAATATTCTTATTTTTCGTCTGAAAATTATTGTAAATATCAATTTTAAGTGAATTATCTTCAGTAGTTACTAAAATATCGCAGTTTTCGTATTTCTGGAAATTACCGTTATATGGGAAGTGGTCGTGGTTACAGTCCGATTTCGCCCATTTTCAATACCAACCTACCTTGGATTAACGGAAGCCTACATACCAAATTTCGTTGAGATATCTCAATTGTTGCTCGAGTTATCGTGTACACGGACGGGTGTGCACAAGTGCGCTCGGGTATAAAAAGTATAAGAAATGAGATTCTCAATGTTAAATCAAGACTTTAACAAACGAATTTTAAAGAAGGACTCGACTTCAAGGTCAAGATATTCGTAGTTAATATTATATTGGTCTGAATTTGGGGTATGTAAATGCCAGTGACCATTCGACAGTCACATTTAATGGCTTACGAAAATGCCCTTGCCATCACGAGAACATCGACTAGCCGGAAGAAAGCACTTTCTCATTATGGGTCTGGCAATTCCAAGTGTATGTCCTCAAATCGTAGTCCTATAAACATTAGCCGTGGTCGTCATCAAAAGAAGAACGTATAATCCGAGCTTTTCTCTTACCTGTCATTAGACATTTCTTTCACGTGGAAGGTCACAAGCTCCGCACACAATAAGCGCGTGTGTTACTTTTCAAGTGGTGTAAGTTTAGATTGGAGGCCGCTTGATTGAAGACATATTGTCTTGATTGTCGGTGCGCCTCTTTCGAGGCAGACGTGGCAGACTTCAGTGAGCCTATAATAAAAAGTCGTAGTGGTCCCACCAAAGCTCATTTTCTTTTCTGTCTTGACCCAAGGCTCCAAACAGTTATAAATTTCGGTCGATGCGACGAACGAGTTTCTCTTTTTTATACCTGCTCTATTAGCACTTGAAGTCCACTTTCGCTGTAGCGCTGTAGCGAACAGATGCTGATAGACGCCAGCTGGGCCAAATACATGGAATTCTATAGCACTAGGTTCCAAATGACTATGTTTCTGCAACTAAGAAAAGAACTAAGTATAAAGATAAAGAAAATAACTAAGTATGTCGTTAACAGGGTTACGCTGGTATCGGGTGCGACACTAATTTGGGATCGATAAAGAAAGAAGTCCTGTAAAAACAAGCACGATGTTCTAGTGGCCGAAGTCCTGAGTTTGAAGGAAATACGCCTTCGACCACATCCAGGACCCGCGAGAGAAGTATTTACACATATAATCTCGTTTTTGGTTTGAAAGACTCCTTCTATAGTACGGAAGAGAATTGTCATTATGCAGCGATCCGAATTTTGAGAAACACCGTCAGAATTCTGAGCACATCTCGGATCCATTCAAAATCAAACATAGTTTTAGATTTATGCTGATGATATTCGACAGTTTGGTTTGAATTTTCCAATCATCAGCTGGCGCATTTGCGACTCGGAACTTTTTCTGCATAAGCCAATGCTTAACATCGATAATATGGTCAGCCATGTGAAAGTCACTCACCATGCTCGTAGTGATGTATGGCAGCGAAGCGTGGACGGTGCCATTATTCGATAAACTTTACAAACATACGGGCATAGTGCAGCAAGTCAAAGTACAACGCTTCTGGTGGCTTGGTCAGCTCGTCCGAATGGACCAAAAGTCTCTAACCTTGAAAGTGGATCATAGGAAGGGGAAGGCCCTCCTCTGCCATGGATGGGCGAGATGGAGAAGGATTTGGTTACGCAAATATCTACCCCTGTCTTTCATTCAAAGTGAAAATATAAATAGGTCATAGACCCACAGTATAGTCAACAGTGGAATGTTAAAGAAACTAAAATAAATACATAAATGCAACATAAAAGCGAAGCCAAGAGGCAAAAAGAAAGGGATTGAAATTAAAAACTTACTGAAAGCAGCCACAGCAAATAAAAAAGTGACGCGTACAAATTTACTATGTTCGCTTTATGAGGCTAATCACCTTTATATTTGTGAATGTATATATGAATATGTACGCTCATATATATGCACTAGCTATACACCTGAACTTGTCGCCCCTGTCGTATGAGCAACCTGAGTATAGAGGAAGCTCTTGTCCTCATTCATTGCTTTGCTGACTCAATAGTCATTAGGGAAATCCGCCAGGATGTTGTGAAAAATTCTCGACTGTTGAAAGGTTAAAGAACGAAGTATAAACAATGCAACAAATAGTAAGAATATATGTATGTATGTAGTTACGAGTTTGCAGGTGTGCATATGCACTTCAACGATGCAAAATGGTTAATAAGCCGTACCGAGATCGACATTGAATTTGCTAGCCTTTACTGAATAGCCTTTTTGTATTGTAGAATACACGTATTTAAGTTGTAAGAAAAATTTATGAGAATATGGAGAGGACTTGGATATAGTACTTATATGGGGAAGTCTTGTAAAGGTACATATAAGGAAGCGTGGTCTTGAAGTAACATTGATTGGCGGCCACTCGAAGCATCTAAAATTATTTCAAAATAAAACAATAAATATCTCCTATGCCACTTTAAACCAACTTAATAACTTGCGTCGTATCGGCTCGAAGAGTTTTCAATTGAAAAACCTATAGTTTTCATAATTTTTTTTCTTTACAAACATCAGCTTATGATAAAAACTGGTAAAATTAAAAAAAAAAAAATGTTTTACTGTCTGTCCGAGAATGCTTCACAAGATACACAAATGTGATCTGGTGGTATTCGACCAGACCAGACGAGAACAGACAGTATAGAAAAACCCACTGGGTTTAAGTCCTGTGGCCATTGTTGCGAACAAATGAGGCAGGGAAGTTTTTTCTGAAAGAAGTTGGACTTCGCGAACTTTATGCGATGGTGGCGAGTCTTATTGAAACGTCAAATGACTTTTACCAAATTGTTTTCGTGCCCATCGTTAAAACGCTGTTCACGTTAGATTTTCTGATATAAATTCACGCCCTGTTCAATACAAAATACCAGCGGACCACATTCGTGCAGCCTGTGAAGTATTCCCGGATAGACTCGATGCTATAATCCACTATAGGCGGCTACATCGAACAGTAATACACTTTTCTAAAAAATGTATTAGTTCTTATGATGTTAAAAAAAAATTAAATAGATAAAACTATAGCATTTTTAATTGATGACAGTTGTGGAAAAATAAATAGGGCACGTCATTTTGACAAATTTTACCTGTTTTTCTTTTGTTTATTTAATATTTGTTATTTTTTCATAAAAGTTCAAAAATTATGAAAATTATGCAAAATAGTATCTAAATTTTCAACTTTTTTTATCAGATTTGCAGATTTTTTTGAGTATGCAGTTTTATAGCTCATAAAATTTTAGTATGACAAAGTGCAAGTTTGACACTACTAGAATTCGCGTTGACTTTTGTTGGATAATGAGTTATAGTTGTATAAAAAATAATAAATATTAAATAAACAAAAAAAAAATAGGCAAAATTTGTAAAATATCGTGTCTCCATTTGTTTTTCCACCACTGTATGTATATTTGTGTAGGTGTTAGTTTGTCACAACTACCCAAAAATCTAACAAGTTTTCGCATTGTTTGCTATTTTCCAGCGTGATTGAATTCTTCGACGGCAGCGTCAGTCGTTTGGTGATTGGTTCCACCATCATCGTCTACTTGCTCATCTATAATGAGGCTAGCGGTGCTGCTATATTGTTTGCCACCATTTTGGCAGCTTTGTATGCTATAATGGCAGGTTGGTTCACAGGCAGATGCATACTAATTTTTGCTATAAAATTAACTAACTGTTCGTTATTTTAAATCCTTTCTTCTCGCAGCATACTGCAAATCCACTCTACGCTCCGTCCAAATGCCTTACATACGTGCCACCAACAAATTTGACTTCTCTTGCCTCTTTCTAGCCACCTGGATGGACGTGCTGGCGATATTGTGTGCTTGTGCAGTTTTGGCGCGCACTCTTAGCACATGCCTGGATGCGATGACGGGCGGTATGGCGCATATTCTTATTTTGGGTAAGTGTACAGCCATACATACATACGTACATATGTATTTGACGTAAATACGCAGAGTAGGTTTAGGCAAATGCAATTGCTCACAGTACGAGCACATTTTTGTAGCACTGTAGGTTGATGCGTATTATTAACACTAATTTATTGCATAATTTTAGGCCGTAACTCATCGGCCAACGAGCCATGGCCGGATGTGCTGGGTGTTGCGGTGGTTCTTCTCATAACTTGCATGTGCATGCTGGGTTTGGAGGTAAACTAAAATAACGCATTCGTATTTAATAATTTTTGTTTCTTTGTTATGTTTTCATCCACTAATTAATTTGTGTTATTTTTTCCTCCGTTCCAGAATTCCAAAGCCTTTTGCGTCCTCATGATCGCTGGCATTATAATCATGAACATTTCGCTAGCCTTGGTAACTACTTGGAGATTACACTCGCTTGAGTTTAATCGCTTCTTCTTTCGGCCGAATGGCATTAAAAGTGTAAGTGATAATTTAAAGTGTGAATAGACTTACATAATTATTATTAGGAATAACTAGAAAGCTAGTTTTTAAACGCTCCTCAACTATTTCTACATCGTCTAAGGGTTAATATTGATTTTGAATCCTTAGACAAGCGACCATTTGCAGTAATTATTTGGATTTTCTGTGGCTTACTGTTTGCAAATCTCTCTGTGAGCTGTGCCCGCGTGGGTGGTCTGTAATTTATAGCTTGCATTCATTAAACAATTCAATGCCAAGCATGGAAACTTGAGAACCTACACACTAACTTGATTGCGTTTATAAAGATTACATCAGTGCTGGGGTGATGGCACACTAATCTGGTGATCTGGTCTGCGTGCATTGCGTCCGCATATAAATGAAGGGCAGAAGCCTACATATACATGTTTATGTACTACAACTTAATTTGTTTTATTCTCCCTTCCAAGTGCTTAGATGGAGGTTAAGTTTGGTTAGATTAATCTGACTGTTGTGACCCTTTCCATCTGAGATTCCTTGCTACATTTACTGAGGACATTCTTAACTGCAATTTCGTTACCTTTTCGCCTTGTTGGCGGGCACCCAATTGAAATGGGAGTCGACGTACAATAAGTTTACTTAGTGTAGCTTATTGTATTTGTGTATGATTTCCTCAAAGCAAAGTCTTCCGCTGATCGGCCGGATATCCGGATATTAATTAGATATCCGGATAACAAAGGGGAATGTATATCAATCCGATAATCCGATACAAGAAGAGAATAGATACTCTACGGATATCCAGAATTTATGCGTATACACGAATGTCCTAACGTACATCCAGATATCCGAATACACGAATAGCCCCAGCCCTATTGTATACTGATAATAAGGGATTTGACGATAGTTTTCCTGCTACCTGTGTTTCTTTTACCCGCAGATTTAGCAGCTAGGTTCTCTAGTTAGATCTTTTCAGTGCAGCACCAATTAATCAAGACGGAGTATATTTCTGCAATGAAAAACGGCTGATCATAAAAATACAATCACCGGTCGGAGTCGGGGTAAATCTGTAGGTCCCTCCACTTTTGGCGACAACATCAATCCGCACGCCACAAATCGGAGGAGAATCTCGGCCAAACACTGACATATTTGTAAGCGCCAATCTATTGTTATTATAATGGACGTTATTTCACCTTCTCACCCTTTCCTCGATATTTTCCACACTTCCTAAGCAATTCGCCATTCAAGACTACACCCAAATACCCTGTGAGGTCTTTCAAGAGCAGATCGATGTTATCTTACTTCGATGGTGACCACCTTTCACCTTCTTATGACGAGTATCATTTCGGTTTCGTCTGCGCTCATCTTCAGACCCGCATTAAATGTCCACTTTTCTATCACTAATGGCACCTAGGAATTTGGGGTCACACATGTTTATCTGAATATGAGAGTAGTTTTGGAGATTTCCCTTTCAATTCCTTTAGTTATTTACTGGCTATCACATGGACCAGCCACTTGTGTAGGTGTGTTTCGTTTGGCCACGCTGCCAAGCATCAGTCTTCCCATAATGTGAGCGTCCAATTGGAAATATTCTATTACTCTGGGACTTTGTAATCTCAGCTTTCTGTTCCACCAAAGGGGGGTTTGGATCCGCTCTTTTTTCCCGAAGAATAACCTATTTCAGAATTTTATTGAAAAACACCCTATCTCAGAATTTGGTTGAAGAACGCCCTATCTCTGTTGTCGATTCAAAAATGCCCCATCTCAGCACATTTTTGAACAGAAATCTGAGATAGGGCGTTTTTCAATAAAATTCTGAAATAAGGCGTTCTTCAAGCAAATGCTGAATTTCTTGAACAAATTTATGAAATAGAGCGTTTTTGAACTGGCCGCCGAGATGGGTCGATCTTCCATAGATAGGTTCGGTGACGATTTGTTATTAACCTAACTTCTACCTCAAATTCGAAGCGCGAGCCGTACTTGCACGATCTAACTCGTTTCCCATTTTCCCTGTAATGTGGGTTCAGTAAATGCTGTTATTCATCTCCGTGAGCTATAGTTCTCAATATTCTCTTCTTCTTCATTGCACAGGTACTCACAGCAGCGGCACTACTCACGTTCTCCTATCCCAGACACTATCCAGCGTACGATTCCTGCTTTTTACGATACTCAGGACTGATTCATATCGTCAAGTGCGTGCTTACTTTGGGGCTTGGAGCGCTGTGTTTTACTGTCTTGGTGCATTTCAAGTAAGTGAGATGAGTATAATTACTGTGCAATGCAATTTTTTCTCATTTCAATTTTAGGGCTCCTCCTGAGTACATTGCTATACCAGTCTTCAAATTTCTAGACGACTTGAATATGCACCAGCTAGTACCAGCTGCTGCTTGCCTTCTGATGTTGACATACACAGGTGCATATATGGAACTCTTTCCCGAGCTCTATGGCCTCATCGTACGCTTTGCGACCGCAGAGTGGAAGGTGTTCTCGAAACAAATAAGCTATGAAAGTCCCGACAGCGGCAATCCTGTGCTAGCAATTTTTATAAGCGGTAAGGTTGCATAAAATAAAAAAATACCCCACCTCAAATAGATGAGCAATTTTATAGTTGTAACTAAATCACAGGCAGTCTCTGCGCCATGTTGGCCTTTGCGTGTCCGCTGCAAATTCTCACCCATATGTTGGCGGGCAGTCACATATGTGCGGGTATTTTAAGAGCGTTCTATTTATTGTATTCTCCCTACCGACCGAAATACATACAGCCAAATAGTAAGAACAAGCCAAGGACACGTACGTATATAAGTATGTAAATATCTTTCTTCTTATAGCCACCCATTCGTCACTCAGCTACAGTCGTCTTGCCACAGCACCACCATTGGTGGTGAAGAGTTCCTCCTCAAATAGCAGAATTAAGCGCAACATATTGAGCGCTAGTTTAGCCAAGAAGGGCGCAATTATGAAGCCAAAGCTGAAGAAAAAACCAAAGAAGGAGCTGGAAAAGGAATGGCTTTTGCTGGGTGAGCCCACATCGCCTTGCCCTGCTCGTACACCGAAGGATGTGGAGTCTGCATTGCTCGCGGATCGCGAGCCACCGGTAAGCAGCAAATAAATTTTAGATTTTAATGAGTAAGAAAAAGAAGCCATTAACCATTGATATCTTCTTTTGAAGCCCTCCGATTTTGAATATCCGGAGAAATTTGAGAAGAGCGATTCGGATACCTCAACCGATATAGATGCGATAGTCGATGAATATCGACAAAAAATTAAGGTATTCTTGAGATCTAAGCATTAAAAATTTGCGTTAATTTTTTCTCAAATTTTAGGTAACAACCGCTGGTCCCATGGAAATGAGTGTGCGTTTACCAACTCTGAAGTCTTGGCGAATAATAATGTTCAGCATTTTCACTATAGTTTCATTTGTCGTATGTGTCAACATCAGTAGCGCGGTTGAGCATCCGTACACATTTTTAATATACATTGCTGGTGAGTATAAAAAAGTAATTGAATATTTCTTAAAAAAGCGAGAGCTACGAAAATGAGCAGCGGGGAGTGGGAACTAGTAATGTAAGAATACATGGATTCATTCGGTTTTTCTTCTATTGGGTTTCTCTTTGCATAAACCTCTAGTCATCTAAAGCAGAAGGTTACTTAAGGACATTTTCGTTCGAGAATTCTTATGAACTGAAGGCTCAATGCTTTGTTCTCAGCCATTTCGTAAATCACTTCTTACCCCAATCCCCTGACCCCAAAAGGGAAGCATCGTCGGGGATAAGTTTAAGCAACTCTTCACTGCTCACTGTACAATTTGCCGTATCGTATCTGAGATGTTCCAAGAGGAAAATGAGCTGATCGATAAGCGTTGCCTTACTTGGGCGATAAACTTTTTCAAGTCAACGTGAACAGGCTGAATTATACCTGATCAGTTGGAAAATAATAGTTGAGCTGTACGGGGACACATCGCCAGGGCTTTGATTGTGGTTAGGAAAATGCTCTCACATCTCCCCCACGGACTCAGACTAATCAGTCTCTCATCGTTAATTCGTGAAGCTGTAGACTATAAACCGGATTCCTCGCGATCGCTTGTCAGGAGTTTTTGATTACAGGCAGGAAAAGGCCTAATATTGAGGACAGAGTGAAGAAGTCGTAGGGAGGCAATTGGTAACAGATGGTACGCCTTTCCTAAGCTTGATTCCTGAGAACATGTTAAGTCCATAAAGTTCTACAGACTTTAACAGGAGAACTACGCTAGTCAGGAACAAGAAGTGGCTAAAATGGGTCGCCCTTATTGGAATAAATGGCCCTTTAGCACTTTGGAAAGTCGGAATTTTTATTCCCTCAAAGTTTTCCATGTATTTTACATGGAGAAAAAATTACTGTTCGTAAAAATGGTATAGATTTCTTGAAAATCAACATTTTTCAATCGGAAGACTCTCTCTCTCTTCAGAAGATTCCCAGTAAAAATATCCAGTTGTTTATTTAACCTTTTTTCATATTAACTATATTTGATAGCTCCGCCGAAAACCCCAAAAACTCAATAAACATTGGAAGTCTCCTGAAGAGAACCAGAGTTTTCCGATCGCAAAATATTGCTCTTAAAGAATTCCATACCATTCTACGAAAAGTTGTTTTTCCCATATAAAATGTGTGGAAAACTTTAGGCGTGATTTCAAAATAAAAAATTGGGGTATATTTTTTCGATATAAAACAATCCTAGTGGGTGGGCGCTGTAGTATACTTGAATTTATCCCTTATAACACAGATCACTGCTTAGCAGAAGCTTTTTTCTTCATTCATTTGCCATCTAGAGAGAAAAGTGCACTGGAGTAAATATGTTTTTGAAAGGAGGCACGAAGGAAGTCGAAGCTTGCCAGAAGAGTTGGTTCATCAACTTCAGACTACTCTTGGATATATATATATATATGTATACTTATGTCTCGTACCAGCTCTGCGAAGGGTGCGTGAAAACCAAAACATGTGCAGCTCCAAAGTCTTACGGGACGAGAGTGCATCAACGCCGGTCAATTGATTTTCATGGGCTCATAATAGGTACTAACCTTCGGCAGCTGTTGAGAGAATGTTGAAGTGGAATCGTCTTAGCTCCTTCCTTTGGACTATGAGGCTGCGAGCTTAGCACCTTTGTCACACTCTCTGATCACCACACACCAGTACTCATCGTTTTTCGCTATAGCTTTGCATTTACCGTTTTGTAAATGTTTCAACAAGGTTTTAATGGTTATGGTCTGCCACTGCTTGGTGAACCACCCTACCTAACTTAGCCTTATATTAGAGTTGCCTTTTTGAGATTATTAAAATGTCGATAGCGCGGGCAATAGGTTTATTTTTTTTATGTCAGAATCAAAAGCCACATTTTAATCAATTCGATTAAGTCAAATTATCTAGTATTAACTGTGTTTTATTGAAACCAATAACTTTTCTATTTCTTACCATTTCAGGCTGCATAATAATCAGTTCTATAATGTCCCTTTTCCCGAGTTATCGTAACGGTGCCGTAAACGTGAACCCGTTACTTTGTACTACCACTATCATGCTGGGTGGGATACTCCTCAGCGGATGCTCATATTATTCATGGCCGGCGATACTCTTTTGGCTTATCGCTGGTCTAGCTTTGATGTTGCGATGTGATAATTGGTGTTGTGGCTGTTTCGAGTACAGTGGTGGCACAATACAAGAACAGCTGATACCGAACGTTCCGCCCAAAACGGCAACGAAAGCAACAACCGTACATATACCTCATCTGCCGAAGAGGGTCGTTACCATACCAACTCGTGTAAATGCAGCAGCCAGATGACAATCAGCAGGATCCTCGGAAAGCGAAGATCTCTTCAATGAAGATTTCAGTTTATGCGATTTCAAAGAGGATAGAAACGACGATGATGACGATTGCTGGAGTGAATAAGTAGAAGCATGAAGAAAAGCAAGGGAGAAGAGTTTGTATGTATGTACATAAAAGCAGTGATCAAACAACCGAGTACCTATAGGAAGGTGTACTTCGGAGGAAATGTCGTGCCGTAGTCATTAGCCATAGTCATTGCCATCGCGTAGTCTACGCAAATGCTGATTGCTTGCCTGCAACTAGACGTTGGAAGAAGACGTATTTTTTATAGAAACGGGTTAAACAGAGCTTCTTACCTCAAGTGTACAGTCATTTTACATAGTTTATTGTGTAGGGATATATTTAAATATACATACATACATATGTACATGTGTGTATGTCTTACGTATTTGCGCCGCTTAATTCTTCTAGCCTTTAGAACTTTTTAGATAATTACCTAAATAGAATAATAACACCGTGCGACAAAAACAAAAAATTTCAAAACACACGAAAGAATCGATATACTCACGAAACTATGGGCCAAATATAGTAAAACTGCGTTTTTAGTTTTTCACTCTGACGGCAGGATTTATTTTTTCAAAGGACTTTGAAATTTTAAAGATATGATTAATTCAAAAAATTATTTAAAAAAAAATTAGTGCAATGTAGAATATCATTACGGGCGCCAAATGAGAGAGAAAGATCTGCAGAATTTTTTAGTTAAAAAGGACGAATAGGTATTGAAAATACGCTTTTAGTGAATTTTATGTTTTTAAGTTAATAAAGTTTGCGTGACGAAATTCGATGATGAGGTCGTGCGTATATTAGTCCTCAAACAATATTTTTTTCAAACAATATTTCAAGGATATTTAAGGATTAAAATTTCTAAAGGACATTTTCCATACCCATTCGTCCTTATGCACCAAAAAATTTATCCTGTTATAATTCTACAGAACTTTTTCTTTTATACGATATCCTTATTGTTATCCTAAGTTGTACTAAATTTTTTAAATAATTTTTTGAAATAATCAATTCTTTTTTTAATTTCAAAATCCTTTTAAAAAATCCTGACGTCAGAGAGCAAAACTAAGTACGCACTTTTACTACAATTTACCCATAGTTTCGCGAATATATTCATTTGTATGTATGTGCAAAATTTACTGCCGCACAGTGCAATAAGCGGCATGTATGAATGAAAATAGTGAATGAAATGAAAATGTGCGATATGTAGGTACCAAAGTTTATCGAACAAGGTGTGATTGATAACTCAGTGCGGCTCTCTTTTAATGTAGTATAGTGTGAAAAAATATAAACAAACGATTGAAAAATCAGAATTTTTTTTTTTGAGTTTGACTTTACAGGATGATTCTTATGAGAGCACTGTCAAATTCAATCACACTTTGTTAAATATATTTTGGTAGGTACTTTCATATATTTGATTTGAACGCTAATATGTATAAAGTTTATACTATAAACGTAAAACTCATGTACTGAAAATTTATTACTAATTTTGCTTTGAATCAAATACTTCACATCCCTTAGTATAATTTAATTAAATCAATTACATTAGTTTATAATTTTGTCGAATTTACTCTGAGAAAATATATATATGTATATGGATTTGATTCTAGACTAATAAAATATTCAATGAAAAAAAAAA